GAGCGAGAGGGGAAGACGGAGGCAAAGAGGAAAAGGAGAGAATGAAAGGAGGGAAAGAAAGAGGGCAAAGAGATGCCAGAAGCCAGCATCAGGAGCAGATAAAGTCACACGTTGGGGGGGGGGGAATACAACGTTCAGTCCCACTTCAACAAATTGGCCTTGGGACTTGCAGCCAGGAACAAGTGTCTAGACATGCTGAACAGCAGTTCAATTTACTAGTAATTATAAACATATTTCATTGCATAAGTAGCGTGAGAACACATCCCCCCACCTAAATCTATAAAACTAGAGGAACAATTGGTCTGTCCAGGGTCTCAAAAGACTACAAGGAGACTAGGGTTACATTGCCTGTAATTAAAATTACTGGGCTGTCTGGAAAAGTCTGCTTATAGAGAATAAACAAGAGAGTTAGCAATTTCAGACAACAAATGAATAGTGTCTGTTCCTATGATCTGCTACTGCACATGCTTTTATTGCTTGTTTTATTATGTCTCTGTAAAAAAGAAAATGTGTGGTTTCCAGCATTTTCACCTATTTTCCTTTTATATTAATAGAGATGTACGTATTTTTGTTGTTTTCTTCTGGATGGATTGAAAGGGCTAATGAGGTTATAAAGCATGAGCATGGATTGGGAATAATGGGAACACAAGGTGTGGTCTTCATGTGCCATAAAACAATGTCTCTTTGTCAGCATTTTAAATGAAAACTAATTTTAGTTACTTTTAGCACATAGGGGAACGAAATATATAGTGTTTACAAAGCACATCAACCCCATACATGATAACCACTAAGTATTTAAGTATTGAATTATTATTAAATGAGTAGCACTAAGTATTTCATTAAATTATTATTAAATTAATATTAAATTATTAATTCTTAAGGGAAAGATCTTAATTCCTTATAGGTTCCATATAGGTGATGCAGTGATCACACAAATACTTAAATTGGAAAAAATTAACATGAAACCACCATGGTTGTACAACATTTATTTATTTATTTATTTATTACTTCGATTTGATATACCGCCCTAACCCCCGTGGGGGTCTCTCTCTGGGCGGTTTACATGTGGGGTGCTAGTCACATTGAGCCCTAACTAAGGCCACATTGATTCTATGGGTGGGGCTGCCTACCGGCACCCAGGAGGAGACTGATGTCTCTTCGGTTCGGCTGTTATTTTTCGGCTCCATTCCCGGCAGCTAGCTGTTCTTTTCCTGGTGCTTAGGCAGTCAGGCGGTCTGATACACAGGTGACGTCCTCCTCCGGTCTGGCTGCGTCCTTCAGGCTCCGCCACGCCTTTGGATGACGTCACTGTGCCTCCACATCAGCTGTTAAAGTTCTTTTCGTAGAGCAGTCTTATTGAAATAAGTAATAAGTGATTTAAGGATCAAACCCTGGTATCTGCAACCTAAACCAAGGGCCCACAAACTTGTTGAGGCTGTAGGCTTTTTGGAATTTTGAGACACTTTAGTGGAAAATGTGATGAAATGACACTGCACACACAAGGGTCTGTGTAAGAATTTTCTGCTTTGCTTTGTGAAAATTGGGCTTACACTCTGTGAATGCTCAGGGGTTAAGCTCAAAGTGAGAACAGAAGAGACTGAATTAATATCCCACCCTTCACTTGAAGTCTCAAGAGCAGTTTACAATCTCTTTTCCCTTCCCCTCCCCACAACAGACACCCTGTGAGGTAGGTGGAGCAGAGAGCTCTTTCCAGAACTGCCCTTGAGAGGACAGCTCTGAAAGAACTTATGACTGACCCAAGGTCACACCAGCAGCTGCATGTAGAGGAGTGGGAATCAACCCTGGTTCTCCCAGATTAGAGTCCACACTCCTAACCACTACACCAAACTGGCTCTGAGATCATTCTGTTAACACCTCCCATTTTTCCATCTAATCTTCACATTAGGTAAAGGTAAAGGTTTCCCTTGCTCGAAAGCCAGTTGAATCCAACTCTAGGGATGCAGTGCTTATTTCATTTTCCAAGCCGAAGAGCCAACGCTGTCCGAAGACATTTACAGGGTCATGTGGCCGGCATGACTAGATGCTGAGGCGCACAGAATGCTGTTACCTTCCCACCAAAGTGGTACCTATTTATCTACTTGCAATTTCTTGCTTTCTAACATATCTTGATGTGGGGATAGACAACAGAACAAAAAAAATTTTTCCTGTGGCACCAGGACCTGCAAATCATCAATGATGTCTCGGGGAACCTCCTGGAAGCTAGTGATTTTTCAGGTAGGGTGGGAGGGGCCCGAAAGGGTTTAAACACTGACCTATGGCAATTTTATATGGGAATATGGGGAGAAAGGTAACAGTCAGATCTACATGAATCCTCATGAATTCATATGATTTTTACATTGAAACGAAATAAAACTACCATCATATTGTAGGCCATGTGTTAGTCTATAGTTGTTGTTGTTCAGTTGCACAGTCGAGTCCGACTCTTCGCGACCCCAGGCCTTCCGGTCTTCCGCCGTCCTCTGAAGTTTGCTCAACTTCATGTTCGTTGCATCTATGACACTGTCTAACCATCTCATCCTTTGCCGTCCTCCTCTTCTTTGACCTTCAATCTTTCCCAGCATCAGGGTCTTCTCCAGTGAGTGCTCCCTTCTCATTTGGTGGCCAAAGTATTTGAGCTTCAGTTTCATTATCTGGCCTTCCAGGGAACAGTTAGGGTTGATTTCTTTTAGGATTGACTGATTTGATCTTCTTGCAGTCCAGGGGACTCTCAAGAGTCTTCTCCGGCACCATAGTTCAAAAGAATCTATTCTTCGGCACTCGGCCTTCCTTATAGTCCAACTCTCGCAGCCATACATGACTACCGGGAATACCATTGCTTTGACCATGCGGACCTTTGTTGGCAGGGTGATGTCTCTACTTTTTATCATGCTGTTTAGGTTCGCCATCGCTTTCCTCCCAAGGAGCAGGCGTCTTTTAATTTCATGGCTGCTGTCACAGTCTGCGGTGATCTGGGATCCCAGGAACGTGAAGTCTGTCACTACTTCCACAACTTCCCCATCTATTTGCCAAGGAGTGATGGGGCCGGATGCCATGATCTTAGTTTTTTTGATGTTGAGCTTCAAGCCCACTTTTGCGCTCTCCTCTTTCATACTAAGCAAGAGACTCTTAAGGTCCTCTTCACTTTCTGCCATTAGAGTGGTATTGTCTGCACATCTGAGGTTGTTGATCTTTTCCCCAGCAATCTTAATTCCCGCTTGTGATTCATCCAGGCCAGCATTTCGCATGATGTACTCTGCATATATATTAAATAGTCTATAGGGGGCACCACAAAAATCAGGCATCCACAGATTCGTGGCATCACAACAGCGCAAACACATGATTCCAAAGCACAGATCCTCATAAATTCATATGATTTTTACGCTGAAACAAAATAAAACCAAGGCCACCCCCCCGGGGGCTCAGAGAGGCGGGGGACGTTTTGCGCCTCCCCCCCATTGCCACTGCCGTTACCTCTGCTGCCGCCGCGGCAGCCATAACTTTTTAAAGAGTCCCTAACAAGACCTGGGGGAGCCAGAATGACCTCTCGCGCATCACACGCTGCCGTTACCGCTGCTGCCGCCGCCGCCGCCGGCCGCCATAACTTTTTTAAGAGCCCCTAACAAGACCCCCCACACACACCTTGTACGCAGACACGTGCTTTTGCCACTCAAGGTTCCAAATATAACCGGAAGAACTAGGGCGTGTATATGGGGATGACTCCAGCCTTTTTCTATGACTTCCCCCTTATCGTTTGCTCACACGCAATCTATTTTCTCTATACCAATCATAGAGCAACAGGGGTTTTGTGTGTGTTTGTTTATTCCAAATTGACAGTTGGAGAGGAGATAGAGGCGGTGTGCGTGCACACGAAAGCTTATACCTTGACTAAAACTTTGTTGGTCTTCAAAGTGCCCCCGGAGTCGAACTTTGTTTCGGTATATATGAGTATCCGCATAAAAACCTGCTTTCTTTAAAAAACAACAACAACAACAACAGCGTTTCTTCTGTTGGGCGCAGGCGCGCGATTTGGCAGTTGTTTGGCCTATAGCCCTAAACGTAGGAATTCCGGTCGCTGACGTTCACCGGAAACTATTTTTTTTGCGCCTGCGTCATCGTGTGAGCGAGTAGTGAATGACCCCGGAAGAAAACGGATGGTGGCGTAAGGTCAGTGACTGAGAAGGCGGCATGGCGGAGAAGCTGGGGAAAGGGAGAACGAGTCAGAAGGCGCAGCACAATGCAGAAAAAGCGGAGGCGGTTGCGAGCCCTGGGGAAGGTCAAGGCGCGCCCGTCCAGCCGGACCAGGTCCTCTTCCCACCGTCTTTCAGCGTCTCCGAAATCAAGAACAAGCAGCGGCGTCATTTCATGTTTCTGCGCTGGAAGCAGCAGCAGAGGAAGGTGCGAGGGAGGAGGAAGAGCTCTCGCTTTGGCTTTATTAAGCTCGGGGATCTATTGCTAGTGTGTGGGCGGGTGGAGATGTGGGGTGTGTAATGAAATGGTGCACGTGGAAAGTGATGCGATACACTCCAACCTGTTTACGAGGATGGCCCTCCTCTCTGCTAAAACAGTCTCCTGAGTTTTTGCCTTTGGGGTGGCTGGTGTAGTTGAGTTTTTTTTTTTAAAAAATTGATTCCTAATTTTCGGAGCTCTGCTCTTTGACTCATCTGGTATGAGAAGTGGAATGTTGCAGGCATACTTTTGTTTTCATCAGCAAAATGTCTGAGGATGTTGGAAAATGCTAATAAGTTGCAGAGTGTAATAAGGCAGTGTACCATGTGTGCCAGTTTGCTGATTTTGAGAAGAGAAACCCATAAACTTTGCAGAGAAACATTGTGTACCCTTCTGGAGTCTTTGTGAGAACGAGGTAGTGTGTGTTGTATTGAACGTCGATTGAGGATACATTGGTTAAAATACTCATTTAGATGAAAAGTTTATTGTGTGTCCAGTGCTCGCAGCCTAATCAACAGGGTGAGTGTAGGAAGAAAATGAGATGAACTCAAGGAGTTCCTTGAAAGAAAGGTGAAATTCTGATGCAGTTTATTCTCCTACATATACACTGGAAGGTACACTTAGATTACAGTCCAGTAGTAGCTCCATAGAGACCAACAAGAGCTTCATGTATAAGCATTTGAGAGTCAAAGCTCCCTTCATCAGACACTAGTAGGATGAGAGCTTTGATTCTCAAAAGCTTACACCCTGAAACTCCTGTTGGTCTCTGAAGTGCTACTGGACTCCAGTCTGACTGTTCTGCTGCCAACCAATATGGATATCCTCTGAAACATGGTAGGTAATAGCTGTTTGTTGCAACAGATATTAGTGGGAAACATCAGACTAAAAGGTTAAGTATCACTGATTATACAATGCTAATAAATGGTTATGTCTCTAATCTGAGAACTGTTTATAACCCGATGAAAATTACTTATGCAATGCTAAGTAAAAGTCTAGTAGTGCCTTAAAAGACTAGCAAAACTTATTCCAGTGCAAGCTTTTATGAGTAAGAGCTCACTTCATCAGATGCATGAAGTGTACCTTTATAGGAAAGTTACTTAGACATATTTAATGTTACAAATAGAAAGGTGGAAGTGAGGAGATGCATGTGATGAAGTGACTGAGCTGTGTATGGACCGTGTAGCCATTTGTAGACAAATATATGACTTTCTCAGTTCTGCAGCTTGTTGATATATTTTGTTCTCTTTTTTTCCTTCTCCCAGGAGAAATTAGCCATCAAGAAAAAGCGAAAAAAGGAGCGAGAAGCCCTTGGAGACAAGGTAGAAATGTAGGGTTAGGGACTGAGTTGATTAATGTGTTCTTAATTAACATAAGGGCCGTTAACTGATTTGTACTTAGTTCCCAGTATGCTACAGTTCATTTATGTTCTCTTGCATTCAAAGTATTAGGGTTAGGTTACTGTTTCTTGCAGTACATGATACTGGGAACTTCACAATACTAGGTGGAATGCCATTGACTGTGTGATTGTGGGGACTCAGTAGCCAATTGTGTTGTGTTATCAGATTGCTAATGATGTAGTAAATGCGGGTATGTATCTTTCACCCTTTTCCCCTTATGTGTCATATGGCTACAATGAATGTAATTGGTGGTAGCAGGAACATAGCACACTGGCTCTTGTCTAGAGAGAGGAAGAACAAAGGGGCTGGAACTGTTACTTTTTCCTTTTCTGCACATACAGCTCTGCAGGGGAAAACGGTTTACATCATTCCCTTGTCCTCCCTTCTCCAGCCCGCCAGTCCCTGCATAACTGTTCTCTACACGGATTGTGTGACCCCAGGATATATGCCAGTATATGTGAAGTGTTTTGAGAAGTTAAAATGTGTGGTGTAACCTCAGTGGCTTTTTTATGTATTGTAGAAGTGTTCAAGATGTTACATATCTCTTGAGGTATAGATTTTGGAGTATGACCATTGCAGTTTGCTAGTGATAGTGCGCAACGTTATAAATGTCTCTTTATTTAAAAGCTATCAAAACCCAGTAGTCAGAACTAAAATTATCTGAATGCAAAACTGTTTTCTCCCTAAAAGCTGGATGCATTGCAGTGTGACCTTACTTATCTGAAGAGTTTGGCATCGTTAGTATTAAGGCTGTATGTTTTGATCTTGCTGCCAGTAGGTGATATAAATAGAACAGTTAATTGATAGAAATAAAGAGCATATTCATTCATTTACTAATAACCTCTTATTTCTTAAAGGCACCACCAAAGCCAGTACCAAAGACCATTGAAAACCAGCGGGTGTATGATGAAACCACAGTAGATCCCAATGATGAAGAGGTAGCTATTTGAAAAACTATAGCATTCCTTAAAATGTGCTCAGGATGGATAAAATCTTTTTGAAGATTTTTTTTGCTATGATTTTGCACACATTTAAAATTTCCAAATAACAGCCATTGTTTGTAAGATTTTATTTATTTATTTGATTCATACCCTGCCCTCCCCACCAAAGCAGGCTCAGAGGGGCTTACAGACCCAATGGTATCATACAAAATTAAAACAGTAAAACAAATTAAAATAATAAAACAGCTTGTAAAGTGCTACAATTGTGCGATGGTGGAGTAACCATCCTTAATAATCACAGAGGGGGATCTAGTCAGCAATAGATATGAGGCTGGTGTCTGGTTCCTTAATATATAGTTCACTAACATGGGCACAGATGTTAAACGCATGCACAGGAGCAGACAGCCAAGGATGAATTGCAGGGCACAGGTTCCTCAGTCAATGTTGGACTATTAGATGCGGTGCCTCAATCAAATGCTTGGTGGAAGAGCTCAGTCTTACAGGCCCTGCAGAATTGTAATAAATCCCGCAGGGGCCTGATGTCCTTAGGGAGCTCATTCCACCAAAGCAAGGCTGCTACCAAGAAATTTCTAGCCTTAGTTGTGGCCAGCCTGGCATCCTTTGGGCCCGGGGGGAACAAGATTTGGTGACCCTGACCATCGTACTCTCTAGGGAACGTGGGGAAAGGCGGTCCCTCAGGTATGCAGGCCCCTGGCCATATATGGCTTTATAGGTAACAACCACCACCTTGAAGCGAACCCCAATAACAGCCTAGCCGCTGCAGTCTGCACTAGCTGTAGCTTCCGGATTTGGGGAAAGGGCAGCCCCATGGAGAGAGCATTACAGTAATCCAATCTCGAGGTGACCATTGTGTGGATCACTGTTGACAAGTCACTGCGTTCAAGGAAGGGAACCAGCTGCCTAATCAGCTGAAGATGGTAAAAGGCCGACTTGACAGTGGCTGCTACCTGGGCTTCCATCATTAAGGAGGCATCCAAGAGCACTCCCAAACTCCTAACCTCTGACGTTGGCACCAATGGTGACCCATCGAAGGTTGGGAGTGAGATCCCTAACCCCAGACCACAACAGACCATCTTCGACGGATTCAGTTCTTGTTTCCTATTCTGTTGCACACTACAAAGAATCACAGAAATCATGGAGTGCTCTTATATTAAGACACTCAAGCCAGTGAGGCTCATTTCTTAATAAATGGCAAGATTTCAAAGCTTTTGATTTAGAAAATTTAAAAATTGCTTTTGTTCTCAGAGTTCTTGAGAACTTCTCTGAATATGCAAACCAGAAAGAAATTTAAAGCATCTGAGCCACCATGCAACTTAATAGCTAAAATATGCCATCCCAAGTTTATTAAGTAGTAAACATATGTAACTAGTGGAGACAATTGGGCCTCAGTGCTACAAAATGTACAGTTCACAAAATTGAAGTCTTTGCTTCTTTTTAAAACACCATTTAATATGGCTTTATCTAATCATTGTTTCTAGGTTGCTTTGGATGAAGCCACAGATGAATTTGCCCCCTACTTCAACAGACAGACCGTTCCAAAGATTCTTATTACAACTTCTGACAGGCCCCGAGGGGTAAAAATACATTCTTTAAACTGGTGGTAAAAGTGTTCTATATTTTGCAGTTGGAATATTGTGAGGTGGAGACTACTTTTGTTTAAATGGCTTTCATTTTCAAATTAGGATAGGTTTGTCTGTAACTGCTGTTTGGCACTTAAGTCTTTCCTGCAAGTTGCAGAAAACACAGCACAGGAATTTGCGAAGTCTGTCTTCGGACAAGGGCTAGCATTTCTAGTTCAGCAGCACAGCTCTTGTGTCTAACATGTCGTACAGATAAAAGTATATGCTGCCACAGAAATATCCATAACCTTAAAGTATGCATATCCTCTTCATAAGAGTTACATTGCACTATGTTCGATGAACAGCAGTCTTTTTAGCAGCAGTTGTGGTTTTGTTGGAAGACATTTGGTGCCAACAGGTTTTAACTGAATACTTAAATGAATCAGTAGTGGAGTTGCCATGACGATTGCCATGATGATTCATCCATTGCATTATCAGAATATGTGTTCTGTATAAACTCTTATTGCAGAAAACGGTGAGATTCTGTGAACAGTTATCAAAGTGCATTCCAAATTCACACGTTTACTATCGAAGAGGCCTGGCTCTTAAAAGAATTATTCCACAGTGTATGTCGAGGGACTTCACAGACCTGATTGTTATCAACGAAGATCGAAAAATACCAAGTATCCTTTCTCAGGCAGCAGTCTTTCCACAGTAGCTTCTAATCAGATATAACTGATATACTTTAACAATAACTGTACAGTTTACAGAGAACAGTATTTTAGTGGTTTTTAGATAGGTAATTTTTACTTCATAATACTTCAACCACAAGAGTTTCCCATTAAATACAGAACAGCAAATATGAAAGTTTAGGTAATTTTGAAATGGTTGTTCTGTGAAACATTTTTAAAAACAACTGGGGTGAAACATTTTTAAAAACAACTGGGGTTCTGCAAGACTTATGCAGGGTGAAAATTCCATGCCCCATCCTATTCTCCACTTCCCCACCCAAGTCACAAATTTCTGTCTTTCCAGCCTTTCCCCTTTGCTGCTTCTACCTCATCTTCCCCATCCTTCCTGCTGCCCCAGTCAGCTAGGTGGCAGGTGTGGGGAAGCAGGGCCAAAGCAGAAGGCCGGTTCTGGACACTTTGTGCTGTAAGTCTTGCCACTGCTTGTCAGACTGCTGATGGGATGTGGAGGACATGGTTTTTCCTCCATCTTGCCCCATCAACAAATAGATGGCAGCAGTAAGAGATTTAGAAAAACTTAAGAGGAGATTGCCCCCACCACCACGCTGGTCTCTACCTCCTCCTGCTGATTCTGCCTCTCCTTCACCTGCTTTCTCCTCACTGCTGCCTCTGCTGACCTTGTGTTACCACCACCTTTGCCAATATCTGCCTCACCTATCCAGCTAGCCACCTGCTTCCTCACCTGTACTGATCTTTCCCTGGCCTCCCAAAGGCTTCTGCTTCCATCACGTTTATGGGATTGCTAAACAACCCTCAGAGTGTTGGCTGAGATCTCATGACATACATATAGCTTAGCTAGAGCTCGCTCCCCCCCATAAATTTGGATTATGGGGATTTTTCATCCCCCCCCCACAACTTGGATTATGGGGATTTTTCAGTCTTTTCCCCTTTTTAATTTTTCTGTGAACCTGGAGTTTCGTCCAGATTTGTACAAAAATCTCCCCATCTATACACGACCCTGTTGTGCAGACTTTTTGATCCGCACTTTAGTGCCATTGTTCATAATTAGATAGATGCTGTATATTGCACATTGAAATGTCTGCCTTAACTCTCTTTGAATAGATGGGCTTGTGTTAAGTCATTTGCCTGATGGTCCAACTGCTCATTTTAGGATGAGTAGTGTTCGTCTCCGTAAAGAAATAAAGGTGAGCTTATAGCCCCAACTAGCCCGAGCTTGTCAAAGCTTGGAAGCTTAGCAGGGTTGGCTGGGGTAGCTATGCAGAGAAAGGTAATGGCAAACTACCTCTGTTTATCTCTTGCCTTGAAAGCCCCATGGTCCTGA